TTAATATTCGGCCGGTAATGCCACTCGCGCGTCATCATCGTCATGGCCTTGCGGTCACTTTTCATAGGGAATCCACGCGAGCGGATTACTAATCCGCAATGGACACGGCGACGCGATAAAAAAACGAGAAAAGTCACGACCACGGTAGCATTGGTATCGTGGCCTTTACTGTAATTGTACTTTTGTTTGCAACTTAACTTCGTCCGTTCGAGACGATTATTGCATTCACATGGTCGACGTAGCCATAACTGAAAGGAACGAATTGAAGGATCTTCTCGATCTGGGAGAAACTTCTCCAGCAACTCGAAGATCCGTGCCATTTTCCCCGATTTGATTCATTGCCAGTCCCAACGAGTGAAAGATTGGGGAAAACTTTGCCCGGAATGCAGATTTCCAACGTTCGCTTCCAATCGATTTACTGTCCCTAATACATTCTTAACGACCGAATTCGCGAACTCGCGGACGAGTCATTTGAGAAATTTACGACTTCTATCGTGAAGTGCATCTAAAGCTAGATCATTATATAGTAACTTCTAACATTATATCATTATAGTAACTTGGAACATCATTCTTTCATTTGATTGAGGCAAATGATGTTCCTAATCTTTGTGGAGAATCGTGCCTGAGAACAGGCAAATTATGCGTACAGGTGTTGGCATACACGGCGACGTGTCCGAATTGGAGCAGCGCCTAGTCCTTTTACAACAGTAATTTATAGCAAATAAGGTTGAATCTTAGCCTTGCGCATTACCATCGGCGCATTGGCAATGGCCGACGTATCAAAAATATTACCATTGTTGTAAATAGAATAATAAATAATAGTTAGTAATAAATAAATAATTTAATTTAAAATATGTTAAATTTAGAATTTTAGTATTTAATTGTTCGTATTAAAAATTTAATATATATATATATATATATATTTAATAGCTAAAAAATCTGTAAATATAATATTATTCAAGTATTGAAACAAAATTTAAATTTTTAGTATTTGATTGTTCGTATTAAAAATATATATAGTATAATATTATATATATATTAATATATATATAATATATATAATAGATAAAATATATATATTAAAATATATATATTAATATATATAATATATATAATAGATAAAACATATATGTATATGATATTATATATACATAATAGATAAAAAATATAATATATACATATAAAATGGGTAAAAATCTGTAATATCTGTAATATATTATTATATATCTTATATACATAATATAATATATAATATATAATATATAATATATAATATATAATATATAATATATAATATATTATTATATAATAAAATCTGTAAATATATTATTATAGAGGTATTGAAACAAAATTTAGATTTTTTAGTATTTGGTTGTTCGTATTAAAAATATTATATATATATATATTATATATATATTATATTATATATATATATATTATTATATATATATATAATAAAATAAGTAAAAATATTATACAAGTATTGAAAATTTAGATTTTTAGTATTTGGTTGTTTGTATTAAAAATTTAATATATATATAATAGGTAAAAAAAAAATAAATATATATATATATATAGGTAAAAATATTATACAAATATTGAAAATTTAGATTTTTAGTATTTAATTGTTCGTATTTAACATATATATATATATA